GAAATTACTTCTAATGAAATAAAATGGCTCCCTAAAGTTCACGGCACTATAGCCTAGATTATATTTTGAGAACACTTACAAGGTGCATAAGTAGATATTTTTAAGGGTGTGGGTTTATGTACTCTGTGGAAATAAATACCTAAAAGAAGTTTAAGAATTATATGACTATCGGGGATTTCAAAAAGGTATAAAAATGACATTGAGGCATTATTTAAAAATTTATGACATTTCTGTTAAGATGGTAAAAATGATAGAAATGAATGAGTGGGAAAGTAAGTGGCAATAAGGAGATTTGTGCCTAAATATGAATGAAGATGAACTTACTATGGCAAATAATATTTTCCCTGTGTCAACTTCATTTGAATATGAAATGAACTGAAACTTCTTACAAGAACCAGCAATGTTAGAGTAATTTTTTCTGGATTTTTGCCTGTGAGCCAGAGGTGACATTTTGTTTCTTAGGTCAAAATTAATAATTTTCCTTTTCTTCTTTTAAGAAATAGGATCCTTCAGGAAAACTTTAAATTAAAAAAAGGATAACGTGTGATTGTAGTAAACACCTCCCACTACAATATGTGCAAAGGGAAACAGTTTATAGCTTAAAGGAGGAGGAAACTGAAGCTACAAAAAAAGATACTCTTCATTATATCCATATTAGATATTTTTTAAATAAAATAAATTTATTGAGCTATAATTCATCTACCACAAAATTCTCCCACTGCAAAGATTTTTAGTATATTCACAGGCTATATGCCCATTACCACGATATATTTTTAAAATCATTTTATCAACCAAAAAGAATGCTGTATCTACTGGCAGCCACTTCCTACCTCTTGCTCTTTTACTTTTGTCCAAAGTAGATTTTCTTCAGCCTGATGTGAGTAACCAAGGAATCGGATAATGACTGGTTTAGAGCTGCTGTTTGGAATCAGACAGGCACAGACACTTGAGAGGAATCCGATGAGATACTAGCTTAGCTCATCTGGGGGGTGCTAGCCAGTCTTTCATTTTTCAAATCGAGGTGAAGGTCACATAACATAAAAATGAACCATTTTAAAGTGAACTTCCCCCCCCCCACAAATGGTGTGGAAAACAAAGAAGGAAAATCCCATTCCCTACAACTGAAGCCAAAGCAAAATATTTGAAGGCCAAGAAAGCAGGGCTGAAAGTCATTCACAGCGACAAAAACAAAAAACAAAAAGATCTGCAGTTCACCCACCTTCCAAGACCCAGAACACTGCAGTTCAGAGGGCAGCCCAGATAGCCTCAGGAGAGCACCCCCAGGAGAAACAAGCCTGACCAATGTGCATCAAGTGCCCCCTGCCACAGAGTCAGCCATGAAGAAGGTGAAGACACAACACACTATGGTCATCACAGATCAAGCAGGCTGTGAAGAAGCCCTATAACACTGACGAGGTCAAGGTCAACACCCTGATCAGCCCTGACAGAGAAAAAGGTGAATATTCAACTGGCTCTTGACTAGGAATGCTTTGGGTGTTGTCAACACAACTGTGACCCCTCCCCCAAACTAAATCTAGCTGACTTATTCTAAATATATTTTTTCCACAATGAAGGAAGAAATAATAATTTAGTGGAATTCAGTGCTCTCACAATGTTGTACAACTACCACCTCTCCATAGCACCCAGCCCTTTCATCACCCCAAAGGAAATACTATATCCATTGAGCAGTTGCTCTTACTCGTCTCCTGCTGTCCCTAGTAACCAATCTGTAATCTGTCTACACAGCTACCCATTCTGAGTATTTCCTGCATGTGGAATCATATGTGACTGTTAGCATGCTTTTTATTGTTGTTACTACCTTTTGCCTATTGAGAAAAGTGCTGCAATGAACAAGCATGTGCATGTATGCTGAGTACATCTTTTCAATTGTTCTGGATACACCTAGGAGTGGAATTGCTGGGTCATATGGTAATTTTTTGAGGAACTGCCAGTTTTCCATAGGGGCTGAATCATATATCCACCAGCAATGGATGAAGATTCCAATTTCTCCCTATCCTTGCCAGTACTTGTTATTTTCTGGTTTTAATTGTAGACATCCAAGTGAGTGTGAAGTGGTATAGCCATTCTTTTGACGAAGGAAAATGAAAATGTGTTTACTACAAACCTGAATATTCAACACAATAATTTGACATATTTCCCTTTTACTGGAAGACGGGATGTAAATATATGAAAAGTTAACATAACTTTCCCTGTAGTACTATAAGTAATACAAAATGAAAAACTGAGAACATGTTGAGACATGAGTGGGTGAAGAACATCACTCAGCATTTTGTTTCTGACCACAGAAAATGCACTGCATTTTAAGGCACATTATTACTCCCAAGTAGACATTTTTATAAATCTTGTATATGTTACTCTCTGCCTTTGTTCTCAGTGAACTATCCTTCAAAAACAATGTATTCTAGGTAATAATCAAAGAATGGGTCATAATACGTGATGTAGTTAAATTAAAAACCCAGTGATTTGCTGTGTCTATATAGAGTATACAGAGGGCTCATACAGATTATTTATTGTTTTGCCCAGAAATATAGGTAAATAAGAGAAAGAGGTGAAGCCTACACTTACACCTTGATTGAAGGGGCCTTGGTAATGTCACTGCTTGGGATGAATTAGAAATTGGGGTGGATATTCACTCTCCAAGCTCATCTTGTATCACTTTCCCCCTCACTCATCATGCACCAGCCACACTGGCCTTTCTATTCTTTCTTGCACTAACCTTATTCTCACCTTAGGTTTGCTGTACTTACTGTTTCTCCTGGGATGCTCTTCTCTGCCTCCATTTTGAGCTCCAGTCTGTCATTCAGAACTTAGCATAAGTGTCATCTCCTTTTCTGGTCGCACAAATGGAACCACCCAGTCACACTTTAATCACACTTCTCCTGTTTCTGTTACCATCATGAACCTTGACCTAATGTATATTCTTGCCCCTCCATTAACAAGTAGCTCCATGTAGGCATGCACTATTTATTCTGTATCTGCAGCTTCAAATACAGCACTAAAATTGATACTCAGTATTTGTTGAAAGTCCACAAGGAAATTTCAGTTAAAATCTATGTAATAAGGGGACTATAAGTAGGACTCCAATGCAAAAAATAGATTTTTTTTTTTGGTGGGACCCTCGCCAGTGGCAGGGGATCAAACTGGCGCTGCAGAGGCTGCGGGCAGCCTCGCAACGCAGCGCTCAACCGCTGCGCCACCAGGGGAGGCCCGCATAAAATAGATTTGGAATGGCAAATTTCTCCAAGGTATTAACAATGAACAAGAGATTAAGCCATTAGGAATGGTCCCTCATTAGAGAAGTGCAGGAGACAGAAAAATCTAAAAGGATCCTGAAGCTAGGTATAAGTTTCAGTAAAAGGTGGGCTAATGGGAGGGGAAATGTGTTCTGTAAAAAGAAAACCTCATTGGATTTGGAAAGGCCATTTGTGGTCACTGATTAAAGTAGTCAAAATGAAGGAGAGAGAGGATGAAGCAGGTAAAGGTCATCAGTGGAGTAGTTTATCTGTAAAGGGAATTGGTACTTTAGCAGGATTTAGTGGGCTTCTTTTTTAGTGAGAACTATTCATTTCACAGGGGAAATGAACTAGAAGAGGTCTGAACATGCTGTACATCGGGGATTTCTTAACCTGATGTTCAAGGGCCACTAGAGTTCCATGAGTCACCTTCGGGAATTCTGCAAATTAGAGAATAAAAGGAAAACCTCTTATCTACAAAGAAAAGACATACAGATGGAAAAGCTCACAACTGCATCATCCCAGTAAAGCAGGTAGTAAAGACAGAACTGGAAGTAGCGGGGAGGCTTGTGCAAACACGCTCCAGTGGCGAGACCGAGAAATGCAGCAGATGGAGCCGGGAGAGCGGCTACCTTCTTCCCCCGAGCTTGCAGCCCTAGCTTAACTCCGGGGCACCGTCACGACCCAGGGTGGGGGGGTGCCCAGGCTGCAGACTGTTCTTCACCCAGGGAGCAGCCCTGTCGGGCCCCGCCCACCCCCAACCTAGGAGGGCGAGTGTCTTATCACAAGGGGGGCTGAGCGCCAGGCCGAGAGCCTTCACCCGCGCGTCCGCACTTCCCCACGGCTGCCTACCGTGCCTGGGCAGCCGCCTCCGGTGCGGCCTCTCCGCGCGCCGTCCTCTCTGAGCCATCCCGCCCCGACGGCGCGCCCGGCGCGGGCCCCGGGACGGCTGGCCCCGCAGAACTCATTCATTCGCCCACCCCGGGGTTCACGGGCGCCTCGGGCTGGGGGCAGCGGCCGGCGCCACCGGGGTCCCGCCCCGTGCGGCCCGCGGGTCCAGCAGCCAGACCCCCGCGCCAGGCTAGGGCGCCGCCGCCCGAGTCTCCGCGACTTCCCGGCCTGAGCCGCGAACCGCGCCGGGGGATGCCCCGCCGCGCCGCCTCAGCCTCCCGCCGCCCGAGATCCCGCGGGAACAGAGCCCGCGTCCCCGGCTCGCCTCGGGATTTGGGCCGGGCGCTCGAGCGCCGCTCCCAACGGCTACCCTCGGCGGTTTGACCTTGAGGGCCGGGTCCCCCCCGCCGCCCCGCCCCGCCCCGCGGCGCCCGCGGCGGCCCCGAATCCCGCGTGGGGTGCGAGCCCGGCCTCCACCACCTTCCGCGCGGCGCTCTCTTTCCGCAGCCAATAGCGCCCGGCGCCGTGCGCCCAATGGCCGCGGCCAAGCCCCGAGAGCGGCAGGTCCTATCCAAGCTCCGCCTAAAGTTTCTCCCGCCCCCAGGAAAGGCGGGAGGCGGGCCGATTGCACAGGTCGGCCTATCAGTGGCCAATAAACAAGAAGCTTCCAAGATCAAAGGGGAAGGGGTGGGGATTAGGCGGCAGCAGCGCCGCTGGCGGAGGAATGACAGGCCACGCCACGAATAGCGCATTCATATTTTTCTACGTTCACAAGGAGGCGGGGCTAACGTGAAGGCTGCACCAACGGCCGGCCGGGGGGCGTGTCCACGGGCCAAGCGGGAGCCGGAGGCCCCAGGCTCTCTGGGCCGCGCCTGAGGCGGACGCAACGGGGCCGGGGGAGGCGGCGGCGGCGGCGGCGGCGGCGGCAGCGGCGGCGGGGGTGGGCGCCGCGGCCGGCCCGGGTGGATGGAGTTGGAGGGGCGGGGCGCTGGCGGTGTGGCGGGCGGGCCGGCGACCGGGCCGGGGCGGAGCCCCGGGGAGTCGGCGCTGCTGGACGGGTGGCTGCAGCGGGGCGTGGGCCGGGGGGCCGGCGGCGGGGAGGCCGGGGCCTGCAGGCCCCCGATACGGCAGGAGCCGGACTCCGGCGCGGACTACGAGGCGCTCCCGGCCGGCGCCACCGTCACCACGCACATGGCGGCGGGGGCCGTGGCGGGGATCCTGGAGCACTGCGTGATGTACCCCGTCGACTGCGTCAAGGTGAGAGCTGCACCGAACCCCGAACCCTTTCTGGGGCTCACCCGCCCGCCGGGTCCTGTGCGGGGCCGCTACTCCCCGCCGGGCGCGGGACCCGCGGGGTTCCTTCCTGGCTCCCGCCACCGTCGAACGATTCGACCCGTTCCACCGAGCGAGCCGGGGGACCCGCGTCCCGGCTGGCGCTGACCCCGGTCCGGAGCCACGGCCCGTTTCTAACCGGCGCTGAGATCCGGACCGTGACCCTGCGCCGGTGAGGGGCCCGTCAGCCGGGGCCGGCCCCCGGCGGGGACCTGACGGCTCCTGAGTGGGATGGGCTGGGAGCAGGTAGGTGCTGCTAACGCCACTCAGGTGCAGCCGGCTGGGGAGGACCGCGCCCTGTGGGGGAGCTGAAGGGGTCCGGCGTCCTTCGGGCAAGTGCTTTTACACGCTTCTTGCTGTGTCGTCTTGTTCAAGTGAGGGGACGTGACCCAGAATCTGGGAACTCTCTGCTCGAGAGAGGATACACTCACTAAACCTTCACTTGTTAAACCTTCAGCCCACCTTCACAGTGGTGACTAAATCACTGTGCAGGCAGCATGCAAATTTCGAGGTTGAAAATAATCTGGGAAAGACAGTGTCCAGGAAAAGGTTTCGGTTTCTCTGTGCAGCAAGCGTGATACCCCACCTATTTCCTGAACATGGAAATTGAGCCGGGATTAGGACTGCGTATGTGCAGGGAGTCCGTCAGCCCCTAAAGGACATATGGAACTGATAGTGTATTTCTTCTGCTACCTGAACATGACAAAAGGGAAAAGTTGGGGAGGGGGGTGAGGGGGGAAGTAGAAGAGAAGCATGACAGTATTGACAAGCCCGGGGAAGTGAAGATAATGAAATGGGATAAGCACTATTCATGCAAAAGTAAAACGAACTGCATCCACAACCAAGCAAGCTGATTAATGGGTAGAGAAGTGCTTCTGAAGAAAGCTGGGTGAAGAGGATAAAAGATTCTTTCTAGTTTTTATTCTTCCGCACCAACAGAGATACCAACCACTACAAGTGAGGACTAAATTGAGCAAGAAGTAAATGCGAGGGGAATGTTGAAATAAATGCAACGACAGAGACTGGTGCCTTCTTCCATGTTAAGGGTAATAGTCTAACAGTATCCCTCACAGCTCTTTGATGTATGTTTGTTTTCTCTCAAACTAGGAAAAGATTACATATTCAAAATGAGAACATCAACTTGAGAAATGTAGTCTGTCTCTTGCTGCATCCTGGTTCCAGTAACATTGCATGGTTTTGCTAGTAAGGTGGATGAGGAATAGGGAAATTGTCATTAAACTTTGTGAATGACATTTAGTCAGTAGGAGTAACCTAATATATTGCAAGGTAACTCCTAACAAGGGCAATACCCATAGAAACTGTGGTAAATACACTTGGCTAAAGTGGACATTGGGATTTTCAATACGCTTATCAATTGGGAGGAATAAAAATCAACAGTACAGATCTGTGAGAAAGAAGTAAAAGGATAGTTAATGCTCTTGCAATATTGAAGTGTAAAATGGATAAGCAAATATAAAAAGAGTCAGACATTTATGGGATAGAGTCTAGGTTGAATGACTGTGAGTGTTAGCACTGTAGATGGAAAAGTTGATATTACCTAACTGCAGAATAACCTTGCTGTACTTAGTGCTGTGTTTCAGGATGGATATCAAATGAAAACTGGATCAAGGAGAGCAATGATAATTATTTGATGCCTGGGAAAAAAACAATGTAATAATGTGCCTGACTTAGCAATAACCACCTCAGCTTGTCAATTTAAGTGTTGGCCCCTTAACTTGGGCAGCTATTTCCTTATTCCCTATGTTTATATAATGCTATTGTTGCTGTAAGCATTTTATAAAGTCCTCTGTTTAGAAATGCCTCTAGAATATTTGGGTTCATATCATTAAGAGGAGTCAATCTCTCCTGACAAAATGGTGTTGATTTTCTAGTAACACAACATCCAGAATCAAATATAGTGAATAAAGTGGGGATCAAAATGAGTAATGAATGCTGATCGGGTAATACTGATTTGATTATCCCATAAGATAGGGTGGGGGAGTGTGAGGGAAGGACACTGATTTACCCCTGTAGCTAATAAACCCACAGAGGCAACACCTCTGAAAGGAGATTTCGAGAAATGTTTTGGATTAACAAGCATTTCTGGAATAAGTCACTTCTAGCTTTCCAAGGTAACTATTTTGAAGAGCAGTTCTTATTTACATAAGGTTTGGAATTTTTGTTTTTTAAAATTTAAAAATTAGTCATGCAGCATTACAGTCATGCCTCAAAACCGCAGATTAAATAATTATTTGGTCTAGAGAAAAGATGCTCAGGAGTCTTTAAAAACACAAAACTTCAGAGGAATCATTTTCATTTTCCATTAATGCTGGGATTTAAATAACTAGACGGAAGAACTAGGTGAGTCCACCAGCATTTAACAGCAGTAAGTTAAACACTGTTTGGCAGACATGAAAGTAATATTCAGATCTCTTCCTTTAGAAAGTGCTTCCCAGTTCACTTGTCCCCAGGCAGCTGTTCTTCCTCTTTTACCAAAAATGGGTGATAGAGTGGAAGAGCAGCCCACTGCACCCTAAGACTAGAGACAGCTATCTGTGTGGGAGCCCGAAGGGCAACCACAGTGTTTGCAAAAGCAAGCTGACATTGCCTCTTGGCATGCAAGCCTGTGTACCCCCAGCCACTTGTCAGGGTCAAGTTGACTTAAAATATCCTTGGGAAGGGCCATGGGAATTCAGCCGGTCCTTGCAAGGCCATAGTTACTCAGCCAGCTATTTCCATGGTCATAATAAGAAGGTTTGGCAACCTAAATAAATACTGGTTTTCCTTTTCTGGGCCTCAGGTAAGCACCAGACTTATCTATGAGCCTAGGCCTGCAGTCCAAAGCAGTGAGAATCTTCTCAAAATCACCTGGCTCAGCGCCTGCGTGTGTCACCAAAGTGCTGCTTTTTGGTTCTATAGTGGTGAAGCACATATCTCTGTACAGGATAAATTAAAGAGGGAAAGAGCAAAGGGAAACAAATCTTTTCTAAACTTCAGATGTAAAGGGTTATCTGTACACATTCACTGGTAAAAGATTAGGAAGTAGAAACATTGGCTTCTTTCATTTTCTTACATCTAATAAGTATTCAATAAATGGCAATTGTTCTTTTTGCCGCCCACCATCTGACATGCCTTACGTACATGTTTTTATTTACTCCTTGAAACAACTTCATAGAGTAGACACATTTTTTTATTTTATAGATAAAGAAAAGGAAGCAAGTAACTGTAGTTTACATGGTGGAGTCATGATTTGAACACTGATTCCCAAGCCTAATAGACACTCCCAATAACAGATTTCAAGAATCAGGCAAGGCACAGAACTTTACAATCATGTTTGTCCCTGCTCATGAATAGCTGGACATATAAATCGTTATAGCCATGGAGAAACTTCTGAATGAAAATGCAAAATCAAACCTGATCTTTGAGTGGTTAAAGGCCTATTTGTTCCTCATGTAAAACTGAAACAGCACTGCCATGATCTGTAAGTTCTAAGACTGGAGCTAGTATTTCTGAGAATTACACTTGGATACAATAAAAATCCTTATTTTTAACACTTCATGAATTGCCAATGGCTTTTAATATGCCTTAACTCTGGCTCCCCTCAGTGGCCCTACCAGCCAGCCAGTCTTAGTCTTGTTACACACGGCAGCGTTGAAGCTCAGAGAGGAAGAGAGACATACTTAAGACCACACACCTACCAAAGCGGAACCCAGGCTTTCTGACCCAAATGTGGCTGTCTTTTACCAAACCACTAGCCTCCCGACTAGTCCATTAGGCTTTTCTTCAGAGCCAGTCATTGTTTTTTTTTTTTAATGCTTAAGAGATTTCTCTTTCTGAAAGACAGATTTATTGGCCCACAAATTTAGGGAGCTATAATCATCTTTACATTTGGCATAGCTTATACCTGGGGTCCTCTCCATAAGGGTACATTTTTATTTAGCGTTAGAGGTGTATAAAATGTTCAAAGTAACTTACCCATAGTTCAGGTATCTCATGGGGTGAAGGTTCCAGGGTTTTCAGGGTTCCAGGCCTCTGAGGCCAGACTTTTCAAGACTTTTTGCCCAAATATGCCCTTGACTCCAGCAAAGCAAAGGCATTTCCGAGCGTTTTCCTTCTACAAGATCAGTGTCAAACAAACCTGTGGAGACACAATATTGCTAAGCTGCCAGGCCCTGTTTATCTTTATTAATAACCATGGTGAACAAAGACCTGTACTTTCTGGATAACTCCTCTCATGGATTTTATACCCGCTGGAGGGGATATAAAAGATCAGTATAAGCACATCCTTTATTGGAAATTTATGAATTTTTTTTTTTTGAGAAGTGGAGAATAATGTGTCAGATTGTGATAAGCAATACTGTATTTCTCATTGAATTCCCAATAATTAATCTTTTAAGCCTCCGGTTCTTTATTGGTAACAGTCAGGAGAAAATAACTTGAAGAATGTGGACTGCTTCAGGCTAACTAGGACCTGTCAGTCTGGTTAGTTTCTTTTGTTCCATGCTTTTAAGAAGTGGCATTACTCTGGATTCCAGATGGCCAACTGAAAGGTTCAAGCTCTTAAAACCAGATTGAATCCAGTGATTGGAATGAAGTAGGAATTTTAACTGTACTTGGGCATCAATTGTTTTAATGGCCTACTTGTTACTTTCTGAACAAGTGCAGGAACAGTGTTTCATTCTTTCATTTATTCATTCAACAAACAAATCTTGAGTGCCTGCTGTGTTCCAGCACTGGACATTCAGTTTATATTAACTCTTAGTCTCCACTTTAATCTTAAGATGGATCAACAGTGAAGACAAGAGATCTTCACTGGGAGGCATCCTTCAGGGAAGGTTTGCGATTTGGGGCAGTGTTTCAAAAAAGCTTCACCCGCCCCGCCCCTGCCAAATTTCAATAAAGCTTTGCCCAGGAACTTCATACAAAGTATGTATTGTATATTTTCATTCCAATCATTGAATCCTAGAAATTCCAAGGATAAAGTTCCACTGAGACTTTTTATTCACTGAACACAATTTTGGAATTTGGTCAATTTAGATTAGAAATCTGGAAGCCTCTTCAGTTATAGAGACTAGACTGGTTTCTGCCTTCATGATTTTAAGCTAAGCTGGAAATCAGAGTAGCATCTATTAGTAGTATGACACCTGCCAGAACTTATAGATGCAGCTGCTAATGACGAATACTCTCAAAAAGTCAGATCATCATGGATATATCCCAGGATGAGCCATCATCTCCTTAGTGTGTGGTTAGGAAGCAGGCCCAGGATCAGTCCTCAGAACAATGAGTGAATCACGTGGTAGAGAGTAAATACTTGACTTTAAAATCCACTTGTAAAGAACCCTTAGCCTGAGTTTATTAAGGCACAAAAGCAGCTTCTGAAACATATGCTTGGTATTGGCTGCTGGGGCTAGGAATCATTTTGGAGTTCAAGGACACTTTGATATTCTCAGGGGAAATAATGGTATTCCACTTTAGGGTCAGAGATGACTCGAGAAAGAAAAGCCTAAGGCTTGGAAAGATTGAATACAGATTTGGAAGGAAGGAAAACTGGATTGAGGTGTCACTCCCGCACACTGGCACAGTCTACATAGAAGGCCGCTGAGTCAGCACCCAGAGGCTGAGTGAGCTGGCATCACTGACCTTGCGCTTCTTTCTGTAATTTCAGACCCGGATGCAGAGCCTGCAGCCTGACCCAGCAGCACGCTATCGAAATGTGTTGGAGGCCCTCTGGAGGATTATAAGAACCGAGGGCCTGTGGAGGCCCATGCGGGGGCTGAACGTCACGGCAACAGGCGCTGGGCCTGCCCACGCCCTCTATTTTGCCTGCTACGAAAAGTTAAAAAAGACATTGAGTGATGTAATCCACCCTGGGGGCAATAGCCATATTGCCAATGGTATTGAGCCTTCCTGTGCTGATTTCCCCACTTCTCAGCTCTTTGGGCTTTGCGGCTCTCTCTGCTTTCTACTCTCAGCATGGTTTGGAGCGGAAGCTTTGGGCTGGGGTAGGCCAGATTTTAGGGGAGGTCCTTCGCAACCTGATGTTCTCAGACAACGGGCTGCTTCAACCCCACCCCTCTGGGGCACCTCAACAAAGGGTTACAGTGTCCTCCCTTACCTGCCAGCTTGACTCTCATCTTCTCCCTGGCATCAACTTCTAATGCCCTGGTAATGTGGAGACACACTGAACTGCCTCCCGTTACATATTTCTTGATAGTCGGGTGGTGTCCTGCTTCTCGGGGCAGGATTGGAGGTGACCCAGCCACCCAAGGAAGACACTGCAGGAGCCCCAGATCTTCGCCTTACCTTTTCAGGATCCCAACTTACCAGAGGCAGTTTGTGTGTCTCACTGAGGATATGACGAGGCCTCAGCGAGTGAATGGGGGTGGGGCCGAGGGACTTCTGTGAAAGAAAACCAGCGGCCTGGAGGTTGTGTGGAAGTAAGGGGGGTTGGCAGCTGGAGACTAAGGATTGTCTAAAACAAGTCTGGAGAGGGTGAGGGCTATGGTCGTTCTGAGCTAAAGGAAAGGTCTGGGTGGACAGATGTGAGGATTTGGAGATGGGTGGGCTGCAGCATAGAGGGTGAGAATCCAGGGTGAAGACTGACCCTGACCCTCGTGTCCTCCCTCTGTTGGAGGCAGCTGGCACACTGGCATTCCTGGCAGCAGTGCATGCGCTTTCTGTCTAGGGGCATGAACTGCATTTATTCTCAGAATCATGTTTATAGATAAAATCTGGGCTGTTTTCTTTGACTCTTCTTGACCTTCCTATTGGAAAGTCGACTGGTGGCCTTAGCAAATCGGCAGGAACAAATGCCCTCATTTCTCAGGACAGGCATTTAGGAGCAGTGGGTTCCCATTTTTTGAGCTGCTTCTTGTCATCCCCTCGCCACTGTGGTCTAGCACCGCCACTTCCCTCCTTCTAGGGCCTCAGTGACTCAGTCGCCCTCTCCTGGCCTTACATGTGGCAGTTGTTTTCTCCTTTGCAGGTGCGGCAGGGTGTGTGGCAACATTACTTCATGATGCAGCCATGAATCCAGCAGAAGGTAATGATTCTTCAGTCTTCTCTGTTGGCAGCAGAGGGAAATCTGCATCTCTGGGCCTTTTCTTTAGTTCTGTTTGCAAAAGACAGCAGGGTGCACAGGTTAATTTTAGTGGGTAGTCCCACTGTACTACTTTGTCTCACCACTAGAGGGCGCTCCCTCCACATAGTACCTTAGGAGGAGCCTCTTGGAACAGAGAGCACATTTGAGATTTAATTCCTCTTTGGGGCTTCCATCTGCTAAAGAGAAGAGTCTTCTTGGCCCGTCTTTGGGCCTTCTTGGAAATCCCCTTGGTAATGGATTTGATTCATTTGAAAACCTAGCAGCTTATTTCACTTCTAAGAGGTGAGGATGGATTTTGATGTTTAAAAATACTGCTTTGTTGGAATGAAGATAGTTGAGATAGGAATAAAAGGTAGAGCTCAGTCCCTACTTTGTGTTTTGGATCTTGGCTTTTCAGTTGAAGACACCCAGCTGAAAAGGCACCCAAACAAATACAAAGGGAGAGCTTAGTTGTGTTCCTTAAGTGCCGGTTCTTTTTTTCTTTTTTTTTTTTTTTAATATTTATTTATTTATTTATACAAGCACTGGGTACAGTCAGAAGTGCAGGAGGGTGAGAGAATCCACCAGAGCCAGAGCGGGAAACAGAACAGGAGGAAGGACCAAAGTACACTGCTGAGGGGAGCAGCAGGCGGCAGGAGAGGTCTGCGGGCCATGTGGGACCCTCGCCAGCAGCTGGGGATTGAACCGGCGCTGCAGAGGCTGCGGGCAGCTTCACAGCCCAGCGCCCAACCACTGCGCCGCCACCGGGGAGGCCCAGGTTCCGGTTCTTTACACGTCTGGGCCAGGCCACGGCAGGGAAGGGGGCAAAGCTCTACCGAAGATGCTGGCGTCACACTGTTCTTCACTTGAGGAAGTAGGAGCCACCTTATTCTTAGCTAAGAATTTTGTTTTCTTTTTGGTATCACTTCTTCCTTTCCTGTGGGAGGATAACCATCCTCATGTCATGAGAGCTGGGTATACGCAGTCTACCCAGGTTGGCATTGTTAGGGCTGGAAGTACATTATTCACTGCCACTGGGAGTAATTTATTGTCTTGGGACTTAGGAAAGGATAAGATACCTAATCATCGGTGCTTATTTCAAGGGATGACTTTAGCATCTTTACACAATAGGTAGATCCTTTGTTAACTGGCTGGTTTTGAAGAAAGCCAGCTAGAATTGGGTCCACCATCTTCTGGCTCTTTACCATCCCTGTTCTAGCCCTTCCTCTAAAAAAGGGGAAACCCTGACACATCAGCCTTGCCACCAGCTCAGTCATCCTTTTTTTCTCTATTTCATTGGCTGATCTGCGGATGCGGCACTGAACCTGGACCTTCACACCCCTGTTGGTTGCTGTCTCCATCTCCTTCCTCCTCATCAATGGCACCCCCAGTGGTTAAGCAGAGGATGCAGATGTACAACTCCCCGTACCACCGCGTGAAAGACTGTGTGCGAGCAGTGTGGCAGAATGAAGGGGCCGGGGCCTTTTACCGCAGCTACACCACTCAGCTAACCATGAACGTTCCCTTCCAAGCCATTCACTTCATGACCTATGAATTCCTGCAGGAGCACTTTAACCCTCAGAGACGGTACAACCCCAGCTCCCATGTCCTCTCCGGAGCCTGTGCAGGAGCCGTAGCTGCCGCTGCCACGACCCCACTGGACGTTTGCAAAACACTGCTCAACACCCAGGAATCCCTGGCTTTGAACTCAAACATTACAGGACATATCACAGGCATGGCTAGTGCATTCAGGACGGTGTATCAAGTAGGTGGGGTGACCGCCTACTTCCGAGGGGTGCAGGCTAGAGTAATTTACCAGATCCCCTCCACAGCCATTGCCTGGTCTGTGTATGAGTTCTTCAAATACCTAATCACTAAACGGCAAGAAGAGTGGAGGGCAGGCAAGTGAAGACGCACTGAAAGAAGCCAGGGGTTCAGACAGCACTGCTGCACCTGCCCCCTCCAGCCACGTTCTGTCTCCTGGCACGTTCCAGCCTCGAGTGGAGTTGGAAGGAAGGTAGATGGCTCTTCTCAGGCTATTGGTGTTTGGGTAACACCAGCTCCTGCTAACCTCCGTTGCTGCCACCTTTCCTTCCAGGTCCTGAGCAAGTGCAGCAAAACACACCACAGCACCTTTGACAACCTCTCTCCATCCTGGGCCTGGTGGCCTGCTCTAGACTGTTCTAGAGGAATATGCAGCCCATTCCCCTGGTTCCTAATAAAAAAAAAAAAAACCTTTAAGTTAAATGGTTCCATTGGGTTTGTCTTGCCAAACAGGAAGTGAAATGCTGTCAACCATTCTTTAAGAATAAATCAAGGGGTCCAAGTGGAAGATTTATTGAGTATATCTATAGTTTTGTTTCTGCTGATTTTCATGATGATTTAAGACTTTGGGACCCGACTTCCCTTGTTAGGGCAATAGGCTCTGGGATCTCCCTGACTGGCAGGAATAATGGGCCTTTGACAGCCTTGCTAAATAGGTGCCCTGGTCCCCACCACAACCCTGTCTCTAGGCAGGGCACTGGGTGGTAGGGAAGAGGTGAAGATCTCTCCTCGAATTCTCAGCTCTGCCTGCAACAATAAAACTTCCCATAAGGCACTTTATTTGCTAATGTTACAAAACTAAAATTATTCAGTGGAGTTGCAAGTCCTGAAGTTTACCTGATAAATAATAATACCTTTCATTTGATTTTAAAGCTTTTACAAGGTACTTTAACATAAGTGCTCTTACATGGTTCTCACAAAACCTGTGAAGTAGGCAGTGCAGAAGCCATCTATTTTACAGGCAAGGGGAGCATAGAGAGTTGATTTACTCAGAGTCTCACAGTATAGAACTGAGGCCCCAGCCAAGAAGTGAGTCTATCTGTGCCTCCCTGCGGTAAGGAAGCTGGGGGAGGCTACGAACTCCTACCTACCATCTGAAGAAGCTCCCTGCCAAGACCACTGAGGCTGTGCTTGGGCACTTGTGGGGCCAAAGCTTGCACTGTGCTTCCTGGGTCAGCCTGCTCCTTTTTGGGAACATTAGCAGGTCCTTCATAGAGTGGGAATCTATCCAAAACTTCCCGAAGCTTCTGAAACCTCTATCTGTCATTCCTGGTATGTGGTCTGTCATTCACTCAGTAACTTGAAGGTGTGAGACACTAATGTTGGGGATATGATGATTAATAAGATCATCCCAGCCCTCAGGGAGCTAACTGGAAAGGAGGACACACATGAATGGCGACTGCAAGATAAAAGGACAAGAAACAGGGAAAACCTAGAGTACTTCTTTGGAGCTCAAAAGAAACCTAGCCTGCACGAGGGGGTGGCTTTTTTTGGCAATTCCTGAGGTAACACCTGGAAGGAAAATAATAACTGCGTGAAGGGAGAGGAAGGTTTCTCGGCAAAGACTAGGGCGTAAAAGAGAATAAGAAGCATTGGGGGCTAATGTGTAAGTGGTCTGTAGGGCTGAACACAAGGTCTACAGCTGGGGAGTTGGGCAGAGGCTGGGTCTTAAAGTACTGCTGAGGAGTTTAGAGTTTATTCTGAAGGCAGTGTGCACGCATTACAGGGTTTAAAGCAGAGGTGTGGTGTGATTTGATTTACAATTCAAACAGATCACTTAGGCTCTCTGAGGAAGGATTAGAGAAGCAAGACTGGACAGGCTGGCAGGCCAGCTAGCAGGCTGTGACAGTAATCCCAGCTGAGGCTGCACGGTGGTCTGAGCGGGACTGTGAGGCAAGGGAGACTCAGAAAAAAATGCCAGATTGTCAGGACTGTAGAAGCGATAGGATTCGGTTACTGAATAAATCTTGCCCTCCTTGCCCCTGACAACCCATCAAGTATCTGCGGAGAATCATGTCTGAATCACTTGAAAACAACTGTCAGAAAAACAGCAGGGGCGTCTGTTCTAGCCTCCTTTGCGTAGGCTCTGCGACCATCTGATGTAGCACTGGGAAAGAGATGTTAATAGTGCTAACCGGTGGCCACTGGAGTTGAATTGCCTCTGGAGTGCAAAGAGCATGATGAAATCATCGCAGAGGTCATTTCAGAGGGTTTGCTAGTAAAAATGTGGGAGTAACTGCCTCAGTGTCGACTGAGCATGAGCACAAAGGGATGCCTCTCAGACCCTGTCCCTGCCCTCACCTTCACAGTGCTGCTGCCTGCAGGGGACCCAGACCACAACAGGCACTGGGGCAGTCAGGCCTGTTTCCCAAGAGGATACGTGGTAACTTCAGAACAAATGGCAGTCACTAAAGACTGTCTCAGCGCTGATGCTGCTCAGAAATAATGAGAAAAAAAATACAAAAGTGACCTCCCAGACTCTGTGCCTTTACTGGAGGACAGCAGGTTAGGAGTTTGGGCAGGCAACAGGTTTTGCTGGTCTCTTTGGCCTTATCACTAGAAAAGACAGAAGCAGAATAGACAGATAATATCCAGCTGGAGACTGGTGACTGGCTACGTGGGTGGGGAACCACTCTCCCATATCCCTGGGGGCTGTGGGCATTGGGGGCATTCCCCCAGCCAGGACCTATTGAGGGGCACGTACCTAGAAAGCCAGGACCATGCCCCCATCAAGGGACGGTTCACAGTGCTATGCAACAGGAAAGAGGAAAAACTAAGTTGCAATTTGGCCAGAGGAAAGTTTTCACTGGAGATACAAGAGTAACATGAATGAAATGTGACACAAGACAGAATAAAGCCATGTGCTAAATCACACAGAACCAGCAATGAGGTTTAGCGACAGAAAAGATAAGCATAGGTCAGAATTAACAGGGAAGAGAAATCACAGAAGTAATTTGAGGAATAAGAGAATTTTAAAAAGCACTTGCATAAAAGTCAGTAAAAGTGACTCATACAAATTTTATAAATTTTAGAAATCATAAAATGAAAATTCCCAGAGAATGTGATATTTTGATGTCCAAATCATCTCGTATTTTCTTTATGCATATTTAATATTAAAAAATCTGATCACATTGTAACTAGGTTCTTTCACGTAACAGTAGATGGTGCCTCTTCTATGTTACTAGATTTTCTCCCATCATCTCAATATAAATGGCCACACGACATTTCATTGTGTGAATGTACAATAGCTTATCCAGTCAGTCCCTGTCACTATAATTATGATCAAAAGCAGAGACAGCGGGTAGGTAGCATCTGAATGCTAAAAAGGAGAGCAGGGTAGGTGTGGAGAGAAGGTTCGCAGAGGCGCCACCTCCTGGCGGGCGCTGATCCAGACTGGAGACCAGGGTGTAAGCTAAGGAATGGAGGATGAGGGAAGCGGGAAGGGTCTTAGAAGTCCTCGTGGCTCACATCCTCCTCCTGGGGCCTGACGCCACTCTCCAGCCTCCCTCTGCACTCCCACACCTGTGTCTCGGAGCTGCTCAAGGACATCCATGTCGCTGCTGCAAAGTTCACTGCTGTCAGACAGTTCCTTCCTCTGGACTCCTGCTCTCTTCCACCATGTTACTCCCTTGCTTCCGTTGCCTTGGGAACAAAGGCCAGACACCTCATCAAGGCCAATGTGTTAAAGAACTTGGCCCTGCCTGTCTCTCCAACCCAAACCTACCTACATGCCTGTGTGCATTCCAAACATGCCCATTTGCATTCCACACAAACATGCATTTTCTTGAAAATCTAAAATATTCCTATTGTCTTCATTGATTTACTAGGTTTGCAAAGCAATATTCTGCCTAAATAATCAAAACCTCCATGTGATTGAGGTTGAGATTGGATATGCAGGATTCCATCACTTCCTGCCACCTCAGATGGGGACGTAGAGCACCAGGTGGGTGTTGCACACTATCCCATGTGTTACCAGAGCTTTATAAGCACAGCCTTTACACCCCATCACCCTCAGCCACACACTAAGGAGAAAGGAGAGCAATTCTTTCTATGGAGGCACTTAGTTTTCCCTGTAATTTCCGCCTTCTGCCTGCTGGAGCAGTGTGAAACCAGACAAATCCTGCTCTCTGATAGCCCTTCACATATATTAAGACAGCTGCCATGTCACCAGGGACGGTCAGATTACAGAGGGCCTGAGAGCCAGGCAGAGGCATCCAAACTTGACTTGGCATCTGATCAGCTCTCATGGTTCTTAAGCAGGGAGGGACAGTCTCCCTTAAAGCAACGTCTGAGCACGTCTTAAAGCAACGTCTGAGCACAATTCAACCAGGAGCCTGGATACAGGACAACCTGCAGGGGAGGGAGCTAGACATGGGGCACTATTGTCATCATCTAGAAAAGGAACTCGAGATCATTATAGGTGCAGGACTTGATGACGGTAACAACCTTCATATACACTGTCCTTTTTTAAAGATTTATTTATTTATGCATATAAGAACTGGGGTGTAGGCCAGAGGTGAGGGGAGTGAGAGGATTCACCAGAGACAGTGTGGGGAGCAGAACAGGTGGATCTACTGAAATACACTGCTGAGGGGTGCAGTTATAAGTCAAGCAATGTTGAGGAAGGATTGCCACCAACCAGAGAAGCTGGAAGGACTCTTCCCCCGAGCTCCAGAAGGAGCATGGCTTAGGAGATGGCTTCAGACTGTGTAAGAATAAATTTCTGTTCTTTTAAGCCACCCAGTTTTTGGTATTTTGTGATAGCAGCCTTAGAACACTAAGAGTGTGTAAGGAGGGAGGCAGGGAGACCAATAAGGAGAATAAATGAAGAAGCTCAAGTAAAAATGAGGGGATCCTGAAGCAGGGCACTAGGAGTGAAGACAAACTGGAGGGATATGTAAGAGGCTGGATCAACTGAACATGGTGACAGCTACACCTAGGGTTATAGCGAAGAAATTTCTGGAAAGCAAGTTTTCTGGGGGAAAAATAATATAGTTATGAACAGTATTTGAGGCCTGGGCAGATGTGGAAGTTACAGTTAAAGCCATTAAGTAAATAGGTAAAAATCAGAATAAGTATTCTTCTGTTACCTTTAAAAATACTATACACAACATGCTCAAATAACATAAACACAGTTTATGAATATATACATAGGGAGGCTTGTGGCCATTATACAGAAAGAGAATGTTTCCAAAACTCTAGAAGCTTCCTCTCTTCTCACAGTTACCGCAACCCCCACCCCCGCAAGGTAATCACTATTCTGACTTTTGTTATAGATTAGTTTTGCTACACCCGAACTTGATAAAAACAGATTCGTACAGCACAGACTTTTTGTGCCTGGTTTCTCTGACTTAACATTATGTCTTTAAGCTTCATCCATGGTGTTGCCTGTAGCCCTTTATTTTTCCACTGCCGTGTAGTTTGAATATGCATTCTGTTGTTGATAGATGTTTGGGTTGCTTCTAGTTTTTGGCTATTTCCAATTTTTATTATTATAGTAAGTCCTCGCTAAATATCATCAGTAGGT